TTCGTTCTTCGTGTCGTGTGTCGTACGTAGTTAGTACGTTATTAGTTAGTATAGTAGTTAGTTAGTTACGTTATTAGTAGTAGTAGTTAGTGTAGTGTAGTAGTATAGTAGTATATATATAGTGTGTGTGTGTGTGTGTGTGTGTGTGTGTGTGTGTATTGTATATATATATATATATATAGTCTCAAAATTCGTGGTAAATTATATCTACCTTAGCTCACATTTACCTATTGATGTACTTTGTTCGTCAACACGCTGTGTATTTCTCTATTTATTGGTACTTTATGCTGGTTTGCTTTCACAAATGATGCTATTCTATATGGCGACAATGTATTTACTTGCTTTGCATCATCACATTGATATCTCATATAAGTAATAAATTGAACACACTTGCGTAGACATTTAATTTGGACGTAGAGACATAGAAAGTGTATACGTGTGAAAACAGTCTGCTTGCCTGACTTGATCTATATAGTCTGCCACTTCCTTCCTATAATAGTATCGCAACACCTACGCTCAATATCCTTAACTTTGTTGCTATCGTCCTATAACAATACTCTCAACATCATATCACTATGTAGACTAACTGCAACCCCTAGATGTAGATCCTGCAATATTCTCCATTCGGACTCCTCTTGCCGAACGTCATGTAACCTGTGCATTCTACTCTGTGGTTCGTCCAGGCTATGGCCATGTTATGGACATACACTCCCCGTAGTGGCTATAAACCGATCTCAAAATATATCATATCAAGTGTGTACAAATGACTCTTTAGGCGTAGCCTCGCTGACGCTTACCTTTGACTCGTCCCGTGACAATCATTACACAGGGCATGTGGGAGAGTGTGTTGGAGCATTGGCAACCCATGCTGTGCGTGTTCCTGGGTGTTTTAATCCCGTCGATACGAAAGTAAGTTGTGCGCACACGTCTGTAGAGGGGATGTGCTGTGAGAGTTTTTCGTATTTTATTCGCACACTTTTGCTGGCCACAGCCGGGTCACATAAATGTCTTAATCTGCAACTAGGCCTTTTTATAGCCCCATCACGTATATGTAAATGTGTACATGAGCACGCGCACCTCTTTGTACGCAATTCAACCTCTTGGAGTGAGCGGGATGGAGAGTGTGTTCCGGTTACTATGGTGTTGGATGTGTTACTCACTGACATAAAGATGACATATTACCTGTCCCCATGTCCATTAGCAGTACACTAACTTTATTTAAAAGGTACATTCCTTGCAAGAATATGAATTATCCACTTTAATTTACTTTGGGCCACCACAGAGTTGGGTGCTGTGTGGGTTCAATAATGTGTATCTGGAATACAAAGTGTTTGGATGCATTTTACGGGCTGATATTTTAGTGGGGAAGACATCGATTCTCCAGTTTACTTTACAGTCAACTGACTTTCCCTCATTACATCACTGTGCAGCTTGGATGTTATGGTAGGATCACAATCGGCTTACTATATCAGGGGGTTCGGTCAAGTATGTCGAAGCACACCCCACTCCTAGATTTCAATTTGGGGAGGATGTTTTGTAAATATTGTTCGAGTTGGTTGATTTGTGTTTTTCTACTTTATATCATTTGACGAGACGATCTTTAATTTCTTGTTGAAATCTGATATTTCGATTACGTGATTGGATGGCCATTTGCTCGTTGTGCTACTCCTGTCTCGATCCAGTGACGTACTAATAGTTTCTGCAAGGTAGAATCGAAGATCACGTCTTCGCCGTGCTAGTTTGCTGTGTTCAAAGATTTTTGTTCTCAGTGGTACAATATTGTAACGGTAGGGTGTTTGACTCGTTCACGTATATACCTTTCACGGCCAGTGCTATACTTTTGCCATTCGATAGTATCGAGTTGCAGGAGAGAATGTAGGACAGCAAATGAGAGTATTTATGTGAGTTCTCAGTATCTGTCATTTCTCTGTGTACAGCTTTTCTTCTTCTTGGGATGTCTACAAGTCGGCCAGATCTTTGTGAAGCAGGTGAAGGTAGAAGGCAGCAAGTTCAAAGAAGTGGTATGTGATCACTAGAGGGCGGGCCTTCAGTGATGTATACCCACTGAGCAATTGATTGCTTTATCCACTCTCAGAATCCTGGTTAGCTATGTAATGTACAGAAATGGCCCATTATGTACCCCTAATTAGCGGACGGACTCAGATATCCGCTACTTGGGTTCGACCAACAGGAGCGAACATCGTGAAGACTATATGAATATTGATAGTTGTATGGCTGGAGTTTGTGTGTACTATAATGCGTGTTACCTAGCTTGTAATCGTTTCTAGCTGCTTGTGTAGGTGTTTGTCTGCAATTTAATGTGGGATTAGTTTCCTAGGTTTGTGCGCCTGTAGTGTGGTCTTTTGCTCACTCGTGGCATACTATATATTCGATTGATGGTTGGTCTTAATCTGGGCGCAATCGTGAAAGTATAGCTATCCCGTCTTACTTGCTGATCGTCATTTTCTCAATGCAACTTAATGATAGGAAGAAGCGAAGAAAGCAGGAGTCAAGAAGGATTCCTAACCCATATTGTCTGACATCAAATCAAGTCAGATTTTCAACGGACCCGAACAATTACAATCTTGCTTACATCTGCACCCAGAATATTTTGCTTCCCCGTGTGCCCAGCAAAATCCTGAACGCGCGGTTATTTGGGCAAGCACTATTTAAAGCATAGACATGATGGCATCCGTTAAAAATTGTCGATGCACCTACAGGCAGTCAGCATAGCACTGAGGATTTTTATACGTGACACAAATTGTGGGGATTTATTGATGGCAGATACAGGATCAATGGCAGCCATCAGGGCCACCGCTGGCATATCTAAACACAGCGGAAAGGGGGAAGGTCGCGGAAGTAACTATGCAATCTGTCATGCCAACATACCGATTCTTCCTTAGATAGGTATATTTAAGTGCACTAAAAACCCAAGCTTGTAGCATCCGCCATATGACATATCTAATATGAACCCAAATTTCGGTACCATCGCTGTGAATGCGCCCGCCAGAGGTGCGTGACCCAAGTTGATTGGGTCAAGGGTTTTAGATATAAATTTGTACTTGTGATCCTGTCTGATATAATATTCGAAACAACCACTCAAGATATGTAAATAGTGTTTTGGTTCTTTGACTTCCATTTGGCTTGTCGTGAATACTATATCGGAATCACACGGATGCTGAATGTATGACCGTTGAAATATAGGTATAATTAAGCAGGATCGGTTATCGAATGCTGGTGTGCTTCTTACTAAAAAAGCCTGATCGTTCATATTCTGGATATATATATGGCGTACTCGAGTTATATCGAGTTTTTTTCACTTTGCAATTGCGTAAAATCGAAGGATATGCTGTAATCAATCGATTCGACGTGCATTAAAATCCCTACTGTAGTAATTCTGCTATATTGATCCTTCGCTTATAATATTGAATTGCCAGGTTTCATTTGAGCGAATTTTTATGATTAATAATTCGAATAGGAAATTTTCGAAATAAGTAAGCTTACTATGAATGCCGGTCATAACATTAGTGTTTCTCTCGTGTGCGATACAATAACTTTGTAAAAATAAACGAATCTATCAATGATTTGAATCGTAGCATATTCCAACAACTGTTGCATTTTTAAGCTCGTTGTTTTTTTGAAATCTGTTGCCTATACTTGTTATGACTCGGCCTTAGCCATCAGGCTGCAGATTTTCTTCTTTTTTTTTCTCAAATGCTCTCGTATGATAGTTTTTCCAGTCTCGTAGCATTTAGCTGATTTGAACGTCACGATATCATTCTACATAAGCAAGCATTTCACCTTCTGTAGGTGTAGCCCTCGATCATTTTCAGTCTTCTGGATACCGAGATCAAAATTATGTATTCTGTACCGATACACATCTATGAACCTATAAATTGCAAAATTCCAGGCCCTCGTGATATATCGTGAAATTAGTATTGAACCAAGTATATATTGAGAATCAATAGAACAAGCAATACTCGCTAGTCACCTCGTACACTGCCCTAATTTGTAACTTGAGTGACAACATATAACCTTTCTTTCTCCTACCACGAAGGGCATCCATATCATTGGTGTTTCTCTCGTGTGCAATCGAAGTACTTTGAAAAACTATCGAATCTTTCAATGATTCGCAGCGTGGCAAATTCCAACAACTGTTGCATCTATTTCTATTTTTAACGCTGTTCTAAGTGTCAAGACTCGGTCTTAGCCATTGTTAAGTGAGTATTCTAAGCGGAAACAACTGCAAGGCTTGGCGGAGCTCTTGATCTCTAGTAGTCTTGTGAATACTGGATAATTTATTTCGCTCCTAAAGATAGTTCATGAACATGTGTTATATTAAGTGTCATGTAATTGTTGTAGAGCCGTGTTCTAACATAGAGAAATAACGGATCCATTGGTTACTGTAGTCCGTAATATGAACCTATAGACTTCTCCAATACACGATTTCACGTGCTATAATAGCTATCTATTGTAGAACAATACCTTTCCGAGAATTAATAGAGATACTGGATACTTAAGAAGCACGCCGACAGTAGAAGGGAAGAGTTAAGAACCATCAATGGGTACTCCAGCAACAGACGCGAGTGAAGCGGAGCAACCATCGAGCAACAAGGACTCGTCCCCGATACGTCGACCAAAAAGACCAAGACAACGCCCCTGGCAACTGAAACAGAGTGTGGAACAACAATCAGCGACGCAGCATCTGATGTTGAAAGTACAGAAGTTGCTCAAGAAATATGAAATGCGCCTTTACCAGTTACAGAGGCAATCTCCATCCGAGTACGAATCGCTGTCATTCCGCATCCCAGACAAGCGCATAGAACGACATGGGATACGTTTTTGATCACCATTATCGCTCTCAGAAAACGGGACGATGGAATTTTTGATAGAATACCTATATCTTAATTATTTTATTCACGAACAACAACGACCAGAGCAACTACTCATGGGAAGGAAGCTCTGAATAATCACCGGGCTCGATTGGAAGAGGCACTTCATTATCAGCGTCAGAACAACCAATTCGAACACGATGAACTGCACACATCTCCGCCTAAACCGTTATCGGAGGGAGAGATAACCAGGACAAAGGTTACGCCAAGGGCACAGAACAATCCGATACCCTCACCACTGACGCCGGAAAGTATCTCGGTATATAGACAGACACTACATGCATACATATGACATTTGTCTGAGGAACTCTATAAGGCAGTGGAGGCCAATCACATAACGCAAGCGGAAACATTTAGAGGGGTATTAAAGACTCTAAGAGCAACACACGAATCGCGGCTAGTAAATAAGAAACAATTTCTTACAACCAGGAGCTGACCATAATAGCCGTCCGACAATTACAATCTCAGCAACATATTGGAGCACGATACAAAGGGTGCCCTATTGGACGCATGGAAGAATGTACATATATCCGGGTTAGATGAAAATTGAGGTCTTCGTTGGTTTTAGAAAGTAAAGAGTTTTTTTAGACTCTATTAGTCTACCATGGACTACATAAAGATTAACCATGCTCGGTTAATCGGGCGGACGCCAGAGCTATAGAATAAGCAAATCAGTTCTCATGAGATGCATGTAAGCGATGGTTGATCCGATATTCTGGAAGCTAACCAAAACCCACGGTAAGCTACCGAATGTACCTATCCTGGAACAGATGATTACTTCATAAAGAATGAAGTCGGGCCCACGAGCAAAGTCAGAATGAGGCAGACTTTAAGCAGAGTTTGTTGAACCACTGAACTGTACAACTACTGGAAGATCGCTTGGAAGCTCGTACATACAAACGTACACTTCAGCTACATACTACCTGGCACTTGTTGGAGACATGAGTTGTTACAGCTATTAAGCCCAGATATACAAGAAACGCATATTCGTACCACAACTCAATTGGCGAATCGACGCTCTCAGGGATGAGAGTCCAACCGTCGGAACAGTCGACCGTATCCTCAGACGGTCCAAATTCAGCAGCAGAACTGGCAACACAGGCCACATATGCCACTCAAATGGCAGTGCGTGCGCGTTGCTAGATTCAGACATCTCCGGGTTTGGAGAAGCGCAATTGTACTAGCCAGGCCTCCACGTTAGATTCAATGTCTATATATGTACTGTTAATAAGTACATGAACTAAGTTAATCAACTGGGTTTTGACGGTTTTATTTATAAATGCTTTTCTAAGACATTTGGATAGACCCACTAAAAGACCTATTAAATCTCCAACGACTTATATCTGAATACCTCAGTAACGTGATGGCTTAAATAAAAATAGGTTTCTAAGGACTATTGGTGTTAACAAGTTTATTGTCCGAACAGCCCACCAGATTGCCAGTTTAATGTGGGCGAGCCCTTAAATCCGGATGCGTGGCTATCCATTGGTTAATACAATGACCTAAGACGTTAGGAGTTATTTTGCTTAGTTAACATCATCGCGCGGCAAAAAAACCCCCAATATCATAGTTTCGCTAAGCAGGACGACGGAAACCGAAGTAAAATCCCTTCGGTCCTTCAAATCCCCCAGCGTATTGCTGGCTTCACGAGGCAAACCTAACTTTATTAACCGACTACTTTCACACTTAGCTTAATTAAAAGACTTAGAATAGCACCACTACATTTCCGCTTTAAGCTTTTGATACTTCTCGATATACTGACATTTATCCCAAGATAGTAAAAGTATTAGCTACTTGAGCTACCTGAACATATTGGTGTTATATACCACACAAACGATTTCCTCAAAGATTATTCCTCAAGCAATTAAAAGTCTTCGTCAACTTAAGTTCACGAAGCACAACATGGACTCTTCTTGTTCGAAGAAAAGTAAACCTGAGGAATAGAGGACTGACAAGGATGTCACTGCTGCCGAGTTGTCGAAGCAAACAAGGTCGCTGCCGAAGCAACTGTCGCCAGCCAGAACGGCCAAGAGGAAGCTTCGAGTGAGAAACTGACTACTTCATCAAGAGACTAGTCACCCGGAGAAAGATCTCGAGGCCAGCTATCGCATCTGCGCCAGAGCTAATTCTTCTAAGTTTAGATGTGATCCTCGGGGGTTTGAAACAGCCCCTGTGATCCAGAAAGAGGAAACTCCGAGTGATAAGTCATCGGTCCCGATAAGAAAAGACGAGACCCGAGGCGAACATGAGCTGACTAAGGAAGATGAAGAAGAAGGTGTTAGCGGAGATGTCTGCTACACCAACCAAGTTAAGTGAGCTGACGGACGAGAAGGCTGTAATTTAGTGTCAGTTAGCAGCTCTAAAAACACTTTCTCGTTTAAGATAACCAGGTAGTTGATCGTATGTATGGATTAGGTGAAGAAGCACACCGCTTACGTTAAGGTGTCACCAATGACAACACGGTAGTATTAACCGAGTGGACTAGTAGAAAGAGTCCCC